GGCATATAACAACAACGACATCACTACAGAAGTTGATTGCCTAGTCTTCCTTTGGAGGAGTGGCTGATGGGTTTGAACTGCCAGCCTTCTGGTTAGCAGTCAGATGACTTAGGCACTATGCCATATCTTTAATAGGAACTGGGGTGCCTTCCCTCTGTGGCTCTGACATCCGCAATATATGGCTGCCAGGTTTGCCACAGAAAGGGGAAGTGCTTGGAGAATTGCACATGGCAGGTTTGCATGGCCAGGACAGGAAGCAGCTTTCATCATTTCTGCCCTCCTTCCTTTGACTAGAGCTCAGTCACGTGACCACATGTAACCACAAGGGAGGCTGGGGCACATAGTCTACCTTGTGTCCAGGTGGAAGGAGTAATAGGTAAGTCTCCTCCATACCATCTCACTCAAGTAAAATCCAAAGTTCTTAGAATGGTCTAAAGGTCCTACATGACTCCCACCCCCCACCCCCCAACGCTGCCTCTCTGACCTCACGTCCACTACTGTCCTCCTCCATTATTGCACTCCAGCCACGCTGGCTTCCTGCTGCAACTCAAACACCCTAAGCATGACCTCAGCTCAGGGCCTTTGCCCTTCCTGTTCCTTTTCCTGGAATGTTCTTCACCATCTTCAGATGTCCACGCACATGTCACGTTCTTCATAAGCCTCCCCCAGCCACTCTTTCTAAAAGTTCAACACCACTGAAAGTACAGAGCATTCCCAAATATCCTTCCTCCCCCCCCAATACCCACCCGTTTCTCCTATTAACATCTTGCATTCCTGTGGTACATTTGTTACAAATAATGACCAAACAGTGATACATTATTAACCAATGTTTGTGGTTTACATTAGGGTTCACGTTGTGGTCTGTGATTCTATTAGTTTTGACAAATGCATAATGTTGTGTATCCACCATTACAGTTTAACTGCCGAGAAAGTCCCCTGTGCATCCTCTCTTCATGTCTGTCTACCCCAAGTCCCTGGAAACCACTGATCCTTTCTTTTTTTTTTAACTGTTGTTAAAATATACACAACAAAGCATGCTGTTTCTACATATACAATTCAACTGTTTCTACACATACAATTCAATGGCATTGATTTCATTCTTCGAGTTTCGCAATCATTTTCACCCTCCCTTCCTGAGTTGTTCCTTTCCCATTGACATAAACTCACTGCTCCCTAATGTTTCTATCTAATCTTTCAAGTTGCTGTTGGCACTTTTCTCCCACATTGAAAAAAAGCAGATCTTAAATGAGCATAATTCTTGAAGCAGACTTTTTTTTTTTTTTTTACTAATTAAGCCAGACTATTTGGAAACTATTGATCTTTTCATTTTCTATAGTTTTGCTTTTTCCAAAATGTCATATAGTTGGTGCAAAAAGGACATGGAGGGGACATGTTCTGACCTCCTCTAACTTCACAAGAAGAAGACAGAATCACCATCAGCAGCCCAAGGCTTAT